TTGTCCAACTCATTGCTGTACAGCGTATTGATGTTAGACAGCACTTGATCTATACGTCCCAATGAGGACCAGATGGCTATTATGGCCCCACAGGCCTGCCGTTGCCGGTCCTCCCCCGCCGCCGCCGCCACCGCCCCTCCATTACTACTACCGGTGCCGTTGGTGTCGACGTTATTGTTCTCATAGACGGCCCGCTTATTCAAATGGAGCACTATTTTGACGGCTTTCTGAAAGTCGGTGTAGTCCTGGTCCGGGGTCTCCATGATTTTGGTGCCGTTCCGCCGGAAGTACTCCAACCGTTCCGTTTGCACCGAATCGAAGTCACCGTTCAGTATGTCGGGGAACGGGTGCTCCTGAGGGCAGCGCAGGTACTTCGAGCCCCCGTCCACTGCCACCCGGCGCTCGGCTGCCATACGAAATGAATGGAGAAAAATAAGTTAATAATAATTATTAGGAATTTATTTTCAAAAAAACTTGTAATTAGTTTCGCAAACAAATTGTTTGTTTATTTATTTTTGTCATTATATACGGACTAAACATATGGTGAGACAAACCTTTGCGCCAAATCTTGTCAAACGTGGCCGACTTGTGTCCACTCAAGTGGTCCATCGAGTGGTTGAGCAAAAGGACCGCGTATTTGACATTATCTGCGAGAAAATTGCCACAAAAAAAATTATCACCACTTTTGCCGCCCATATCGCATACAATTGACGTTAACCTCGCTTATAGTCAACCTGTTGGGAGGTGTGCGGGTTCAAGACCTACATATAACAGGGGGTTAGCCATCTCGAGAGACATAACCTTGTTTAGACATAACCACAATTTAGATCACAAATAAACTACAATTAAAATACAATTACAGTTAGAGGTGTGTTAGGGTGACTATAAGCCGGGCCAATCACTCGTATATAACTATCACAACTCTTATACCGATGATGTGGTCGATTGACTTCCACTCAAACGTGTCTTTCGATGTCTGTCTGTAAGCCATGACTACGACCGCGCGGCTGATGATTGTCTGCGGCAGTGATATCTGTGCCGATGGTCCACCAGCTCTACCACCAGACGTCTGTGTCTTATCTAATGGGTATGAGAAGCGCTGGAATTAGTGTCTTATATACCATATATGCATGACTTGTGGTGGCAATGAATATAGCAATCAATAAGTTTTTAACACTTTATACAAACACTTATAACTGTGTTATCATTGAGTACTACTGACTGAGCGTTAATAGCAATTAAACGCAAATATTATGATAAAAAGTTATAAATATTTTTTGATAACATTTTACGGCTTGAATGCATGCATTGATTTACACCACAGTATTAGTGCTACAAATTCTGGTGGGAATTCCGCACAGAATTCCCGCGGATTTCCCTTATTTAAACTTTACTAACGTATGACTTTTGTGAATACCTCCCCCCATCGGGG